TGAGCCTAAAGGACTTTCCTTTAAGAATGCCTTAAGATCAGTGGGGGAAGGACGGGTATGTTGACTCCCAGTGATTTTTACAGTCAGACTGGGGGTGGGGTGTTGGAAGGAAGGGGATCAAGGAACACAGTATCTGCCTTCTCTGGGGACAGCAGACTTTCTCCCAGAGCTAACTTAAGCCAGTAATTTAGTGGTCCCCAAAGTGCCCCCTTATTCTAGCCCTATTCTCTGGCCCTGTTTGTTTACCCCACTGAGAGAATACAGCAAGCATCATCCTGGTAGGCTACTCCACTCATTTTTTTCTATATAAGAAGCACACACACACAGTGAGAGAGAGAGAGAGAAAGAAAGAAAGAGACAACCACTGCCTAGAAGACCAGTTCACATTCTGCATTCTCCAGGAAGCCCACCTTGACCATACTCAGGAACACCACTTCTCTTAGCTTCTGAACCACCTACTCTGATCCTTGATGATAAACTTAAGATGATTTTTAAAAAAGATTTATTTATTTATGCATCCAAGAACGAGGGTGAGGGCCAGCGTACGGGGTGGGGGGAAGTGAAAGGATTCACCAGAGACAGAGTGGGAGCAGAACAGGCAGATGGACTGAGATACACTGCTGAGGGGAGAAGCAGGTGAGACAGGAGAGGTCTGCTGTGCCATGGAGGTCAGCTCCCTGGCAGAGATCTAACTCATTTTGCAGTGACTGCTGCTAGCTTCATAGTGCTGAGACTTAATCTCTTGTGCCACAGGGAAGGCCCCCTTTCTGTCTTCTGATAAGACGTCCTTTTGTCAAAAGGAATTTTTAAGATGCATATGTGACCTAAATCAGATTTCCAAGGTCATGTGTCTCCTCTTCCATAGGTTTATGCAGGGTTCATTTAATAATCCATCACTCAGTGTTTATTGAGCACGTATAACAAAAGAGAGCCCCTGCTAGGTATGTTCATTGTTTCATCTAGTCTTTACAGTAACTTAAGAGGTACATAGTGTTGAGCCCATTTTCCATGCAAGCAAGACTGAGGCTTACATAGACAGTAAATAACAGAGAAATATTTAATTCTACAGCTTTTGTTTTCCAGTCTCACACTCTATTGTTTACAGTAGGGGCTCCCAGGCTTTTGGAATTCACAGACCAGTAACATTTCAAACATGATTTTTGGGAACAAACATAGCACCCTATGCCAATGTTTTATTTAGCCAAGGACATAAAAAATACCATCTCTTAGCACTATGATTTCATAAAAGGGAATTTTAACACAGAAAGTATGGCAAAGATATAATGTTAGAATAAAGACAGTCTTCTAAGAAATGACAGTTGGCAACCTTACCCTGGAACATCTCTATTGTTCAGCCTCTTTCTTGGTTAAATTTCAAGCAGAACTGGCCAAAACCTTGGCGCTGTAGAATGCATCATCCAAGTTGCATCAAATAAGGTCTGAAGTGATATATAGGATCAGCTACATCCCCATCCTACTCCCAGCAGGTCTTCTGAATCTCACTAATCTTCAGTGTCCCTTTCAGGGAAGGAAGTCTATCACCCAGTCCCTTCTCTCTGAGAACCAGATCAGTGTGTGCACTCTAGGAATGCACACACCCTCTTGCAGCCCTGCGAGAAACACATCTGTTTCCCACTGAAGCTGAGAGCTGTAGTTCTTTTACCTTTCTCAATCCAGAATCAGGGTTTCCCACCTTTGCCCCATCCTGCCCCAGATCCTGCCTATTATGCTTGCAAATAAACTAGAGCAGACCCCAGACCTTGTAGGTAGTTAGTGTGGAAAGGAGACACTGTGAGACCTAGTGGAGAGACAGGGAAAATACAAACTGTAGGGTCTCTGTTGCCTTTCCATTCTTTACCATTCTCTGCTTTTACTAAGAAATAAGTTATAAATTGTGATGTACTGAATCCACGATGCTCACCAAATCTGATGCCCTCCTTCAGGAAGTCCTCCCTAGCCACTCCAAGCTCAATGAGTCCCTCTCCTTAAAACTCTCTTTGGTTGAGACATGATTTAGTACACACTCCTCTCCAGTCTGGAGTTTTTTCCTCTTTCTTGAGCCTGGTTTCCCTACAACTTGTAGTCCACCAAAAGCAAAACCTGGGTCTCCTCCTCCTCTGTCCCCCAGACTTCTGGAATACCATGGCTGTCCATCAGCCTTTCACATAGTGACTGGAGAGGCTAGGTTACTGGGTGCCTATTTCATCCAATGTAGGTCACTGCTACCAAGGGTGGTTCTAGGTGGTCTGATGGGTGCTGCTAACGTAATTGAAGGTAGAGAGGTTCTATGGGGGGGGGGAGAGAAATTAAGCAACCCTGGCCTGTGACTGCAGTACCAAGGAAGCAGAACATTGGTCAGCTCCTCCATTTTCTTCCAGGGTTCCAATCAATGACACTAACTGACTTCCAGAGTCCCTCACTCATCAGCAGAGTTGACATTTATTATCCTGTCCTCTATCCACCTGTGTGTTGATGCTGAGGTCTCCAAGGTACGTTGGTCCTGTCCTACCATCAGGGAGTTCAGCTTGTAAGGGTTGCACTAAATAATCAGAGCTCAGGTTGACAGGAGATTGTGGGTCATGGCAACTCACAGAGGGAGATGGCCAAGATTTTGGTGACCAGGAGGGAGTTCTCAGAGGAGGGGATACCTTTACATGGCTCCTGGAGAGTCTTTTTAGGTTGGATTTTTGGAGCTGCATAAGGACAGTCTAGCTCCCAGCCACATACAGAAGTAACCCAAAGATGTGGTTTCATGGAGGTCTTCTTTCTGTAGCTGGCAAACAAGGGCAGGCAGAGCTCACAGATGGTTAAGAACACTCCTTCTCAAGGAGACCCAAGGACATTCAGGGATTAGGCCTTCCAGCATCAGCGCAGAGAACTGTCAGCTCAGAACTGCTCAAAAGTAGAAATGCCAGCTAGTGGTGATGTCATACTGTAGCCATTCCCTCCCAGTGGGAGGTCCTGTGGTTCAGTGGGTAGAGAGGAAAAGTCCTGCTACCCGAGCCACCTATCCTGCTCTCAAATTTGTTGCCCTGATTGGAGGTAGTCATAAGTGGGCTAAGAATGCAAATTAAAAAAAAAAAAATTCCTCTGAAGAAAAAACTTCATTTAATCCTCAGAGAAAGGCTAAGGGACCTTTCTGACTCTCTCTTATCAGATTTTGCTCAGCCTCCAGTTCAACATTAATCCAAACCCCAATCTTCCCTTCAATGCCTCCTACCCATTTCAGAGCTTATCTGGGGGTGTTGGTCCTGACAGGATCTGGGTAACCTCTGAGTCACCTTGATGACCTTCAGGTCAGGGAGTGGGGAGGGTGTCTGGCAACTTGGCCTGTGTAGTATGGAGTAAGGGGTGTGTCAGGTAATCTTAGGGTGTTGAAGAGGGATAGAGTTACATCTTAGGCTGAGTTGGTGGAATTTGTCCAAAGGCCTGGAGTCTGTACTCAGAGAGGGGACACACAGCTGGAACCCAGGCTGGCCTGAGGGTCTGGGGAAGGGCAGACACAGGGAGTGGGGGGGTGTGCAGTCCCCTCAGGGGTAGGCGATAGCATGGAACAGGAACTCACCTAGTTTGGGTCCATATGGTGTTGTCACGTTTGGAATAAAAACTCATGGGCTAGTCCTAGGTAGTTTTGGAGTGCCAGATCACCAGAGTAACTGGCACACTGCTTTTCGTTTGTTGCCCACTGGTCTCAGAACACCCGTTTCTGATCCATTCCTGGGGAGATGCGTGTGTGGAACGTACCCGGCAGCTGGGGATGCTGCAGGTACATTTTCCTGGAAATCTTACCGCGAAGGGCTGGGTCCCACCCGCGTGCCCTGGACCTCTCAGAGTTTCCCCCAAGCCCTCTTTGCCAGGTCGCTGCGACTAGGCGACGCTCGGCAGGAAAAGATCAGCGAGGGGTTTGCTCCCAGCATATGTCACAGGAAAACCCTGGGAGCAGTCCCGACGCAGCGCATTTCTCGGAAACCCCCTCTCCAGGCGTGTTGCGGGAAGGCCCCGGGCTCCGCATCCAGAAGACCCGCCCGCCTCGCTGGCGGAGGATTGGAGACTCAGCCGAGAAGCAAAGCCTCCAGAGAAAGGCTAGACCGGAGCTCCGAGAACGAGATCAGGAAACCCGCCACTCTCTGCCACCCTCCACCATCACCCACTACCCCCCTAATCTCGGGGTGGGGAAGTCACAGCCCAAGCGGGAGCCCTGGACTCGGGTCGCACTCCCAGCCCTTGGTCAACGGAAGGCACGTGAAGGCGTAGCATTAAAGACGCCTCTCGGCCCAACTCCTTAAGTCAGGCGAGGGTCGCCCCGGGGCTTGACGCGGGGCCCGCCCCCTCGCCCCTCCCGCGCCCCTGTCCACGCGCAGCTGCCCCTTTAAGAAGCCCAGGTAGGCAGGCCGGGCTGCGGGAGCCGCTCCTATGGCAACCCGCGAGCTGCGGCGGCTTCATGAATATTCCGGGGCGCGGGAGCCCGGGCGCTGCCGGAGGGCGCTCCGGGGGAGGCGGCCGCTGATGTAAGCCCGGCGGGCCGCTGGGCTCCGCTCGGCTGCGGCGGGAGCCCCGGGACGGGCCAGCCGGGCTCGGCCAGAGTACGCGAGGCGAGCTCCGGAGTACCTGGCCACCCAGCCGGGGCGGCGGGACAGACTGACAGTCCGCCTGTCTGCGGGACGCACGCCCGGGAGGCGCGCGGGCTGAGCGCTCAGCCATCCGGAGTGGTTCTCCGAGCGCCGCGGCGGCCGCGCCGCTTCTCCCCGCGCCCATTGTTCCCCGCGGGGGCGGGGCGCCTGGAGCCGGGCCGCGCGCCGCGCCCCTGAACGCGGGAGGGAGGGAGCGCAGGCGGGATCGCGGGGTCCCCGCGCCCAGCTGGTCTCTGGGAGGAGGCGCAGCGCGGTGAGCTTGGGAACCCGGAGCTGGACGGGGAGACTCCTTCCGCCCGCCCCAGCATGGGCGCCTGAGGCGGCCCGGCGGCGGCGAAGGACGAGTCCTCGCGGGCGGACGGACCGACTTGCGGACCTGGAGCGGGTCCGCGGCGCCGCACCCGTTGCTCGGCCCCCTGCCCGGCCCCGGCCCCCGGAGCGATGGACAAGCTGCCGCCGTCCATGCGCAAGCGGCTATACAGCCTTCCGCAGCAGGTGGGGGCCAAGGCGTGGATCATGGACGAGGAAGAGGACGCGGAGGAGGAGGGGTCTGGAGGCCGCCAGGACCCTAGCCGCCGGAGCATCCGGCTGCGGCCGCTGCCCTCGCCCTCGACCTCGGCGGCCGCGGGCGGCACTGAGCCCCGGGGCGCGGCCCTCGGGGCGGCGGACGGTGAGGGGCCCGCCCGCAGCGCGGGCAAGTCCAGCACCAACGGCGACTGCCGGCGCTTCCGCGGGAGCCTGGTCTCGCTGGGCAGCCGGGGCGGTGGTGGCAGCGGCGGAGCGGGGGGCGGTAGCGGCCACGGGCACCTGCATGACTCCGCGGAGGAACGGCGGCTCATCGCCGAGGGTGACGCGTCCCCCGGCGAGGACAGGACGCCCCCGGGCCTGGCGGCGGAGCCCGAGCGCCCCGGCGCCTCGGTACAGCCAGCCGCTTCCTCGCCGCCGCCCCACTCGCCGCCGCCTCCGGCCGCCGCCTCCTGCGAGCCGTCCTCGATGGACACCGCTATCAAAGTGGAAGGAGGCGCGGCCGCCGGCGACCAGATCCTCCCCGAGGCCGAGGTGCGCCTGGGCCAGGCCGGCTTCATGCAGCGCCAGTTCGGGGCCATGCTCCAGCCCGGGGTCAACAAATTTTCTCTGAGGATGTTCGGCAGCCAGAAAGCTGTGGAGCGTGAACAGGAACGGGTTAAGTCTGCCGGGTTTTGGATAATCCACCCCTACAGCGACTTCAGGTAAGGGGGTCCAGCGGTGATGTGGGAGCCCCGAGAGGTGGCAGGCACGCTTCCTCTCTCGGCCCTGCCTCTCAGCCGGAGTTAACTTTCCTTTCTCCAGCTGGGAGCTCTGGGAAAAGTGGGGCGCCGCTAGGCTCTGCGACACCCCCAGATCTTCTCTATCGGCGCTGAGAACTTTACTCAGTTTCTGTCCCTCATCCTCTCAGTCTGAGCCACCGTAAAGACATGCTGAAAGGTGTTCTGAATCTGGCCTAGTCCTACAGCCTGCAGCCAGACTAAAGCTTTGCCACCTTCAGCCACACATCCCACCACCCCTTTCTGGGCTGCAGAGTTAGGTGGCTGTCTGAGAAGCAGCGCCAGGTCATTCAGCCCACAGAGCAGGGCTACAAAGGAAGGCAGACCTCTGAGCAGCTGGGCTAACTCCTACAGTGCTGACCCCAGACATTAATATCCCACAGGGTATATGGGCACCCTGCCGAGCTGCATCTGGGGAGGGAAAGCTGGACCCCTAAAGGACTGAGGTTTCTGGGCCCAAGCCTTTTGTCCCCCCACCTTGTCCCTGGGCCAGCACCACATGCCAGGTGGTGGCCAAGACTAGGTACCCTGGATAACTGGCATTGGGACTGACATGACATGATGACCTTGCTAATAGTGGTCAGTGAAGATGCCTGGTGTTTGGACTGATGAGCTGCTATCCTGTAGCCCCAAGCTCATCCAGTGCTCCATCCTCACTCCAGTGACCCAAGTTCCAGCAGTAGCTAGGTCTCCCATGGGTCGTTCATTGGTTCCCAAACAAACAGTGTGATTGCCTATGAGGAAGAGGGACCCCCTCCCCCATCACCTGAGTCAGATGATACTGAACAGTAGATACCACTCTAAGTCAGTGGGGGTTCTGTGTAAAGTGAGAGATTGGTGATTGCCTATGAAGTTGGGATCAAGGATGCTCCTGTACCAGATCTAGGGGTTTCCCAGTACCCCCCTGGACTTTTCTGACATGTAAGATTGAAGTGCAGGGTCTAGAAAACATTTATCCTTTTAAATTTGATTTCATTCATCCATTCATAGGATGGGGTCTCTATTTAGCCCCCTTCTCTGCTGGCCAGCCAAAAATAAATAAGCATTTTGCAAACCAGAGCCCTCCTTGCAAACTCCAGGGAAGCTAGATTAGTAATGAGAGCAAAACCATTTTCTATCCAATGAGAGATTTCATGTGCTGGGCATGACCAGTCAGGCAACACTCAATGGCTTAAAATAGGTAGTGAACAGAGGCTCTCCCCCCCTTTTCTTTTCCAGAAGGACTTCTCTGCCTATCCCTAATATCTAGGGTTCCCATCCCCAGAGAGTGCAGGAGGCAGGAGAACAGGCTAAAACAAAGCCATCATCTTCAAGTTATGCGAGCAAATGTGGACCCTCCCCTCAGGAGTTATGGATGGCTCCCTAGGTCAGGTTCTAATGTGTGGACCTCTGGGGACCGAGGATCCCAGCCTGAACTAGGGAGCAGAGTGGACACACAGAGTTGTGTCTCCTTCACACACACACACACACACACCCCACACCCCTCATGGGTTCTGGGCTTCTCTCTCCCTCTGACTTCTTTGGGGATGGCTGCAGGTAGAATGCTGGTATCAATCACTTAAGATTGTTGGAGGGACCTGCCCTTCCCTTGCTCAATACCCCTGTCTTTGTTGTCTGAAAGCCTCTGTTCAGGGTTCTTATCACTGTCCCCATTGCATGGGCTGGTTGTGGGGGAGGAGGGTTCTGCAAAGCTCTAACCTCTTAGCCTCCAAAAAGCATTGAGCTAGCACCTACTGGGAAAGGGCCTTCTCTTCAAGGCCTCCCCTTACTTGGGCTACAAGGGGCCTGCCTGGGATGTTGGCATCAACAGGGACCTTCCTACCTCCCTGATCTGACTGCCCAACTTGGCATGTCCGCCTTCAGTCCCCCCGCTGCAGAACCTCCCACTAACTGCAGGCTTCCCGGGACACAGAGAGGGAGGACCGTGGGGATTTAGAGGGGTAGATGCTGTAGGGTTGATAGATGGGCAACAGGGAAAGTGTCATGGGCTATGAATTTCAGGTTGTGCCACAAGCAACGGGACTGGTAGTGGAAGCACACGCACAGCCTCAATCACAGCCTTACTGGTGCTGGGTGGGGTGTAAGGAATGAAATGAAAGAAAGACCATCTTGTGTGTGTGTAGGGACAGTGGTCCTTGCTTCTTCTGTCTCAAGGCCAAAACAACTGGCTTCATCTTCAGAAGGTCAAAAGACAAGGACCTGACTAAGCCTTCTAAGCTCAGAATGCCAAGCCTCACCCATTCCCTCCCTTCCCACCATCCCAAGCCTCAGTCCCTGGAGTTTCCATCACTGGCCTTGAGTCTCTAGAGGGAGCCAATCCCCACTGCCCAGCTCAGTTTCACAAGAGGTTCTGCAAGCATAGCTCAGGCCAGTTGAAGATTTATTCATCATTTTGACGGGCAGGAAGCATTGATCCAGCAGAATTGGTTTAATAAAGAATCGCCAGCAAACCATGATGGATTGAGTTTGCGGTTTGGAGTTCAGGACTCGCTGTCGTGGGCTGCTTCCGGGCTCTTCGTTCCTGGGGGAGGAAGGTTGGGCGCCTTTTTCAGGGGCTTGGGGTGTGTCATGCTCTAAGGGACACTGTGGACCACATCTAATAATAGGCTCTTCTTGATGGCCTCTGCTTCTGGCCACCCCTCCCCCGTACATACCCTGCCCAGCTATCCCCGTGGGTAGCTGCCTTTGGAAACTTGTGTTTAAATTTTGGTGACGGAAGCGGTCAGGACACTGAACCCTTTGAGACATTGGCAATGGGCTCCCACCCAAAGCTGGGTGGGCTCTGGGGTCCTTCCTTTCATATGTGCCCTGTCTTGGGTGCCAAGCTTTGTAGTAGGAAACTGGAATAAATAAACTACAGTATCTCTGTGATCCTATTTTTCCAACAAGAGAGAAGGGGAAAGGAGTGGGGACCCGAGTAGAGATGTAGCTCTTTTTGTTCCCAGAAACTGGTGAGGCTGTCTAACCTCAGGCTCAGGTGGGGGTGGGGCTCGGGGTAGGGGGGGTGGGCCTGCATGTGTGTGTCCAGAGATCCATCTGAGCAGGTGTCTTGGGACTGTGTGAATGTACATGGGGACTGGCAGGAAAGTCTGTGTGGGATGTTAGTTCTGAGAATACTCCTGTGACCCAAACTCTGGTTTGGCCTTCGGAGGAGGCAGACAGCTCGGCTTTTCTTTGACCTCTGCCCTTCCCCTTTCCTAGCCTGAACCTTCTGAATCTACCAGAAGGAAAGGGAAGGGAAGGGAAGGAAGAGCCTGAAAGGGTCCTTTCCTTGGGAGAGACAACGGGTTTTGAAATCATAGAAGTGGACCAGTGGTCTCACTGGTGCCAGGGGTTGCCCGAAGCTCTGCTTCTCCATGCTGACTTCTGGTGCTGGTCCTTGGCACCCAGGCTTTGCCACTGTCCATCACATGTCATTCCCCAGCCCTGTCTGCTGTGGGGCAAAGGGCTGCGAGTCTTCTCTGAGCTTCAGTTTCCCCACCTAGACCGTGGAATGTCAGGCACACATCATACGTGTGGTCACATGGGGAGCCGAGAAACCCTGTGAGCTGGCAGAGACCATTTGTGACTCCACTACCCCTACCCCCACTGTTTTCTTCTCTGGGCCCTGGGCACACTAGGCTCTGTTCCCATTCAGTGATTCTGAACCTGTTTTGTAACAGAGACCTCACTGAAAACCTGCTGGAAACTCTAGTCTCTGTCTTGAAAAATACATGGTCATCCAGACACACAGTATGCCGCTCAATTTCTGAGAGGGTGGGCCCCACATTTGAAGATCATCTGGGGGCTCTTGGTTGTGCACCTCATTCTAGCCCATTCCACAAGAGAATCCTAGCCTGGTAGGAGGCAGGTGCCCTCCTCCATGAAGCCTGGTTGGGGATCCACCCGAAATCTCTGGCTCGGCCTCCCATTGCCAGGGCTGTAGGCAGAGGTGGGTGCAGCTGGAGGAGGGGTGCAGAGTTAGCCACCTAGAGAAGGGAAGGAACTCAGTTTCCTCAGTCCTGCTCCCATCTCTCTACCTTTCAACCCTGTGCGGGAAGGACTATTTGGGTAAGAGTTGCGAGGAGGGAGAAGACTACAGTTTGGCTGTGGGCCTGGGGGTTCTGGGGCTCCTCCTTGGGTGAACCTTCTGGGGACCCTAGCCCAGGATCACTGTCTTGCTGTCAGCGTGGAGAGCAGGCTAAAAGGAGCTGCAGGCCGCAGAGCCAGGAGAGGGGGAAGGGCGCCTTGGTGCAGAGGGGAATTCCAAGGTGAGCTGCCTGAGCGGTGCTGTCAGCTGGCACAGTGGGCAGTGAGATTCTCCACTGAGAAGGACTAGCCCAAGCTGGCGAGTTTGGGGCAGGCGAGCAGAGTGTTTGCTGCAAAGACCAACACCCTCCCATGTCAGGTGCTCTGTGCACAGAAACCTAAAGGGGGGGCGGGCGGGGATTGGGGGGGAGGGCAGGACCATATGCTGCCCGCGTGGGGAGCCTTGGAATCCCAGTCCCCCGTGGCGTGGTGAGCACTGATGAGGATGGGGACAACTCCCCCTGCCCGGCTCTACCCCATTTGTTCCCTTAGCGGTGTGAGAGGCGAGGCTTTCAGGGTGTCAGGTGGTCTGGCTCACACAGCGCCTGTGTCTGCCTGTGCATCTGCTCTCCATCCCAGGCGGTAGGGCCACCTGCAGCTTCTGGGATGTCCCCTCCGGCCACTCCACTCCACCATCACCCTTCTGGTCACCTCTAGGCATTTGGATAGAGCTCTGCGTTTGCCGGAACGTAGTGCTTCTCACACCATCCTGCCTCTGCCTCGCCTGGGATCTTGTCAAAATACAGATTCCAGGTCATAGCTCTGGGGTGGGGTCTGCAAGTCTGCATTTCTGATCAGTGCCCAGGCGATGCCAGAGCTGCTGGTGCCTAGCCCAGGACCAGGCTCAGAGTGCTGAG